GGTTAAATGATCCGTAGTACATGATATGTAGCCCTGTACCCCCTTTTCCACTTACAGAGCTAGGTTATTTTTCTTTTAAATAAATATTAATGTATTTTAATGGTATCTATCTACCAGTAGCTGCCTCATTTCCCACCCTCGGCTTATATTCGGGACGGCTTATACTCGAGTATATACGGTAGATATATGTATGTATATATTATTTGCTGCTGTAGATCCGCATTCCGGCCCATCTTGGTTGGAATTACAGGCGACTCCCATTTCTCTGGCCAGACTGTGCGTGGAGTCTCTTCATGCATCCAGTCGTCGGTCTGTGTGGCCCCAGATTAGCCTCTTCTCTGTAGGGGGACAGAATCATGCGTTCGCTCCCCGGAGTCTGACATGCGTGTGTGTCTTATTTCAAAATTGGCATCATTGCCAAGGATGATAACGGAGGGACTCGTCCCATCACGCATCTACCTTTACTCTCTGCGTGGTGCTCTGGGTGACCGATCACCTTCATTAATGGGTTTATATCTGATCTATATTTGCTGCTCATTAGAGGAGAAGATTAGTGCAATCAGAGACCCCCCCTCCCCCTCAGCGTGAGCGCAGCCTCTATGGCGATTTTATATGAATGATTTGCTTTTGTCTCTTCACAGCCGCCAGAACCAGCTGAAAGACCAACAACAGCAGCAACAGCAGCAACCTCCTCCGCCGCCGCCACCGCCGGTGGTGTCCTTGTGTCAGCTCGCCGATGACGTGGACTGTCTGACCGTCCCGCGTTACAAGAGAGACCTGGTGCAGAAATTGAAGATCCTGAGGCAGGAGCTGTCCCAGCAGCAGCCTCAAGCCGGCCATTGCCGCATCGAGGTGTCGCGGGAGGAGATCTTTGAGGTACGTTCCTCTGAAACCGGGTTCGTGATGATTTGGATGTAAGCGGTGGGCGCGTCCGGTGACCAGATGACGGACATTTGCCCCTATTGCCCTTACGCGGGCTGGATGCGGTCATAAACCTAAAAACTTGGGTCACATGATCATGTTTAGAAAGGGGGTCCCCCGTTAGCATATCATGTTTTTGGCCCACGTCAGCATCGCTCGGCTGTCATCGGCGACATGTTCAACAGCATTTGAAGGCTGTAAGATTCCCATCAGAGCCAGATCGGGGGTCCATCCAAAATATGAGGAGGAATGGCTTGGACCCCCCCTGTCTGTAGCCCCATGAGGGAGATTTCTCTTCATTGTCCGTCCAGGAGACGCAGGAAGAGGTGCAAGGACAGTCCACTGTTATAGAGCTGTCATTACGGCCGGTGTCCCCATCAGAAGATTTCCCCTCTGTTCCTCTTGAGGTGACAACGGTTCTATTTTGGATTCTCCATCCGTTTCTCCCACACCTCATCCAAACCTAGAAGTCCAAGTGAGGTTGCAGCCCCCGGGGGGGGGGATCTCATCTCATGTTCCATCTCTTACAGGAGTCCTACAGACAGGTGATGAAGATGAGGCCGAAGGACTTGTGGAAGAGACTTATGATCAAATTCCGGGGGGAAGAAGGCTTGGACTATGGCGGGGTGGCCAGGTATGTATTGGTGTGCTTGTGTAGCCCCCCCCCCGTAGTCCGTCCTGCAATGGGAGGATGATTGGAGGAGGGGTATCTTGTGACCTTGCAGAACTCCGGGGCTCAGTGTGGTGTCTTTGTTGTTGTTTTGCAGAGAGTGGCTTTACCTTTTGTCTCACGAGATGCTGAATCCGTACTACGGCCTCTTCCAGTATTCCCGGGATGACATCTACACGCTACAGATCAACCCAGATTCTGCCGTCAACCCGGTACGTGGCTCCCATCCTTCTCTGCTCCCCGTAGCATTGGGATCTGTGACCTCGTATGGTTTTGTCTAGGGACGCACCGACACCGGAATTTTAGTATGAGTACGGATCATTTTTTTCCGGTACTCGCCGATACCAATTACCGAGTACCGGAAGTCCCATTCAGGAAGCCAGGCGCTGTGTAATGACTCGCCACCCGGCTTCCCGATTAACAATCAAGTCCGTCCCCTCTTACCATGTCCAGCCCGTCACCCCCGGGGCCTCTCCAGCCAGAACGCGGCCTTCCTCCGGTACCCAGCGCTGGAGCCGTCTGGCCAGCCAATCAGAAAGCCGGGCGCCTTGTAATGCTGCGACGCCTTGCTTTCTGATTGGCCGGCTCCATGCTCCCTTGTCATTAGATGACGAGGGAGCATGAAGCCAGCTTTCCCGGCCAATCAGAATTCCGGGCAGCGCCTCAGTACACGCTTCCTGATTGGCCGTGAAGTCGGCTCCCCGGGTGTCTTACCTTGTCCAGCCTGTCACCCCCGGGGGCCTCTCCAGCCAGGACGCGGCCTTCCTCCAATAGCCGTCTGGCCGGCCAATCAGGAAGCCGTGTAATGACACGACGCCCTGCTTTCTGATTGGTCGGGAGAGCCGGCTTCATGCTCCCTCGTCATGAGATGATGAGGGAGCATGAAGCCCGTTCCCCGGCCAATCAGAATGCTGGCTAATCCTTCCTGGTTAGCCAGCTTCCCGACCAATCAGGAAGCCGGGCAGCGCCTCATTACACGGCGCCCCGGCTTCCTGATTGGCCGGGAAGTCGGCTCCATGCGCTCTCATCACAAATGACGAGAGACGGGAAACAGGGCAACGTGTAATGATGCGCCGCCCGGCTTCCTGATACAGGAAGTATCGTGCTAGGTATCGGAGCATTTGGGTGAGTACTGGCCCAAATACTCGGTATCGGCACCGATATCAATACTACTATCGGTACCGGTGCATCCCTAGTTTTTTCCCGTCACTCACTGACAGAGGTCTGACTCTCTCTCTCTCCAGGAACATCTCTCCTACTTCCACTTTGTGGGGAGGATTATGGGAATGGCCGTATTCCACGGGCACTACATTGACGGAGGCTTCACGTTACCCTTCTATAAGCAGCTGCTTGGGAAACCCATCACGCTGGACGACATGGAGTCTGTGGACCCCGACCTACATAACAGCCTGGTCTGGATCCTGTAAGTTACCTGCCTAAGAGTCTTCCTCTGTGTACATGGCGGTGCGAGCGCCCCCCCCCCCCCCTCTGGGGC